CCTTTAGGGCGCCAGACATGTCTCATGTCTTTATAAATAATCTCTTAGCATTCTGGAGATCAAGTAGTCAGTTTTTGTTTTGTTTTGAAATTTATTTATTTATTATTGCCATATCGCCCTATAGGGGTGAAAAAATAAAGTGTTTTTATTTCCTTCTGGATTTATTATTTGATTTATTTATTACTGTCTCATAATATAAAACAATGTGCAATGTACTCCGGTGGGAAACAGCATACTGTTTGCAAAGCCTTTTAAAAAAAACTACAGAGAATTTAAATAACTAAATAAATAAATAAAAAGATTGTTGGCTCTTTGGAGGTTACTATTAATATTGTTCGGTGTATCCAAATCGTAGGTTAACTTGTTTGTGTTTAGAAGCACATACAACTTTTTTTTTTTTTTTTTCCCCTTTTTTACCACACATACACCGCGACCCAAAAGTATAGCTATGGAATCAAGGGACGACTTCGAATTCAGGAAAAAGTCCTGCAGGTCAAAGTTTGGATTATACATTTATTTTGCGTAATCCGTGCGGCTCAGCGCTGTCCTGATCCTCCCGGATTGTGTGTTGACTCTCCGGGGACTCTCGCCGTGCGCCGCGGGACTGCGCCTCTGGTGCTGCAGGTTGCGTGAGAAGCGGAGCTGGCGTCCAGAGGGGAGGGTCTCGGTCTTCTGGACAATCCTAAATCTGCTTGGTCAAGTCACGCGAAGGCAGCAGCCTCTGGAAAAGACACAAGGGTCTTAAACTTGCAGAACAAAGAGCGCAGGACGCGAAACTCCCTTTTTTTCCCCTGCTCGGGCACGAAGGTGCACATATTTGTGCGCTATAGCTTCTGTAAATGCGAGGATCTTGGGGCTTTGGAGTCATGCAATCTGCCACTCAGGCTTCATTCACTGCAGTCATGCAACACGGTGGGGCCGGACTGAGCAGTCACACAGGCGAGAACCCACGAAACGGCAAAACAAGTTATGAAAAGTGGAACTTATAAAACAAGGTGAACTAATCACCCTCTCTGTCACGCAGCGGGTCCCAGAGTGGAGCATGGGATCGGTGAGGAGGGTGCAGGGAGTCCGTCGGCAGAATTAAGAATAATTTCGTGTTTAACTTGAAGTCAGGGGCGTGAGAAAATGAAAAAGGACGCTTCATTTGAGCATTGGATTTACTCTCCCAGCCTTTAATATAATAGATACACAAGGGAGCTTAATAGGAAGATTTGCATTATTTTGAGGGAAATCGTGTCTTTTATTCAACAGGCTATATATTTAAAATAAGGCAGCAACAACATATATAATACATACTATTTATAGCTCACTGAACTATGGAGAAGAAACAACAACCATGATTATAATAATTGGGATTGGAAAAAGATTACAGCTGCAACAATATGCCACACTGCCTAGAGACAAATAACAAATAAGTGCTGTCTGTGTGCCTCTGATGGACACAATGCTGGTTCTATGTGAATGCCTTTGGTGACATCCTGGTGCTCTTGTGGGTCAGTATAGAGAAACCCATCTATCTGCAGTGTTATAGTGTCCATATATAAACTCATGAAGGGAGAATTACTTGTCAATATAAACTTATTTTAATACAGTTAAATGAACCTCAGTAAAGAGCTCCTGTTATCGTGCAGTATTCAGCTTTCAAAGGGATTCTGATCCACACCTCTAAGTGAGTGTGATCATGTTCCTCTGGGGTGAAATTGAACCTGATTAAAGATGAATGTGACTGTGATTGTGGACCGCCCGAGGTGGGAGCCAGCTGCATTCTCAGTGGGCGCTCAGGCTGCACGAGTGTGTGTGTCAGATCACAACAGGTGAGCAGCATGCACAGCTGGAGACGGAGCAACTGTAAATGTCACACAACTTGGCTAAAAACTACACTTTACCCTTTTTAAAATTACATTTTAGGCATTAGGCAATCACTCATCTCACCAGCTAAGCTCCAATTTCTATTTTTTAAACCTGACAAGCACAAAGACAGCAGGTCAGACAGAGAAAAATCAAAGCTAAAGTGAGGGGGAGAGAAGGGAGCAGAAGTGGCAGGATGTGGAGGCTGGGATGTGAGTCAGTGGGGAGATTCTGACTCTCCTAACTTCTTAAAAAGATTAAAGCGATTACAGGCTACTACAGGAAAGGAAGAGTAGTGCTACTGTGTAGATCCAAAGCCTGACCGCAGCCAAAGCAGCGGTGGGTCGTGTCAGGATGCACAGGATGAGCTGGAATGCAGAGCTGGACGCCGGCCTGGAGGTGTGTGGTATTAGTTTGCTCTGTGTCCATTTCACAGAGCTGGGGAAGGGAAAGAAAAAAAAAAACAGGCAAAAAATGTTTTGCCCTCAGCCATATACCTCTTAAAGAATTCTTGGACATAAAAGCAGGTGTAATGACTGTGAAGGTTGTTAGTTTCTACTCACGCAAAGGCTGTCACGCACACACCTTCAGAGCAGGTGTGTACCTCCGTCTCACTGTGCCTTTGCATACCGCCGCT